GTGTGTAAGTAGGATCACAAGTCTGAATCTTGTACAGCAATTAACCACTAAGAAGAATATATGCAGTGTATTATTTGTTGAAAAAAAAAGATATCATGTCTACATCTTGTACCATGAATAACTACTACGAAGACAACAATATGCAATGTATTAATTTTGTAACTATCCTATTAACTTGTTTTGTAACTGTCTCATTGCTATTTCTTTCTCAATAAAATTAATTAAAAAAAAGATTAATATTTTAAAACAGACAAATCTTTTGAACTTTGGAGGTGTTTTAAGTAGTTGATACAGTCAGCATCCCTCTCTCTCTCTCTTCTTGGTAGTAGCAGTTGAATACAGAGCCTTCACATAGAGCTACACATACTGTTGAAGTTGTATATTTTGAGACAGAGTTTTCGCCAGGCGTACAGTTATCTTTTCTGTACACCTCCTCCCTGCTTCCATAGTTGAGAAGGTGGTAGTATCTTTCAGCTAATAGGAAAGTAGTACTTTTAGCTTAGCAAATGCTTTTTCTCTTTCACTCAAATGCTTGTATTTTATGGGCAAATAGAAGCACTGTGAAAAAATTTTCAGAAAAATAAATCAGTGAATGCAAATCATTGTCTGTAATTATTTTTTAATTTAGTCATCACTTACCTTTAATCCTCACACTCAACCCTAGCATTCTATACTCTAGATCCATTCACATTGGATAAAGCCTTGCCTATGACTGCATGAGGCTTTGGGGTGGACATCTGGACACAAACCGTTAACAGTAGTCCATGCTGACCTCAAATTCATGGCAATCATCCTGCTTCAGCCTCTAGAGTGCTGAGCTTACAGGCATGTGCCACCACGCCCAGCTCTCTTTTGTGTTTAATAGAATTAAGGAGATAATCAGAACTGAGGTGAATAAAAGGTCTAATAATTAAATTGTATTATTATTAGATCTACAAATACAGGTGACAAATAGAGTAAGTGTTTGCCTGACAAGTGCAAGATACTGAGTTCAGTCCCTGGTACCACCGGAAAAAAAAAAAAAAACCAAAACAAAAACAAAAAAAAATGTTTATTCCTACTGTATATAACTACTGTATCCGACAGGTTTAACTAAGAACACATGTGGTGTCTGGGCCACCAGGCTGGTGTCTCTTCATCACTGGTGGCTTCTCCACGGTGTTAATTACATTGTTTGTGCTGAAATCTGAGTTAGTCATGAATTTCTTAAAATAATTTAGCCATAAATACATGTATTCCTAAAGTAGTTTTGTTTGAGCTTTATAAAATTTGTTCTTAAAATATTTTGGATACTAACGCTTTTTACCTTTTTAATGGTAGCTATAACAAAATGGAACTTACTCTGCTATCAAAAAAATAAAATAAAAATAAAATAAATGAAATGTCTATCCCTCAAAAAAAAAAACAAATACAGGCGACAGCTGTCATATCAGTGAAGAACATGTGTTACTAAGTCATGCATTTATTTTAATGTCTTATAACTATACAGATGCTCTTTCATTTATGGTGGGATTATTATACTGATGCTATTACTTTTGTAAATTGAAAATGCATTTAGTATACTAACCTGCTGAACATCATAGTATAGGAAGGTATTGAATGTCTCATGTGATTTATTGCTTGTATTAATCATGAATAAGAGTAGCTGTATAGGTTGGTTTTGTATCATGATAAATTTAAAAAATGGAAAATTGAGCCATTGAAAATTAGCGATTGTCTATAAATGATTTTTATTATACTCCAATATATTCTAATTTTATACATTTGAAAACATTCTTAAAAAGAGGTCTGTGGAGAATGAATTTTTTGACATTTGGTTACAAAGTTGCCTACCATTAATGGAGGTTTGTTAAATTGTCAGTATTAATCTGAGTTAGACTGTGAAAGGGAAGAGCCCGCTAGGATTGATTGATGTGCTCTGGAGAGGATCCTGAGTAAAGTGGCTCTATATTGATAATGTATTACCAGCCAAAAAGGGAGTAAATATCATCTTGGTTACATAAAAATGTGAAATTTTTCTATTGTACAAATTTATGACTGTTATATTAATTAGAAAATAAAAATGAGAAAAGAGATATGTAAAATACTGTTAAGATTTTAGGGATTTCCTGGGCTGGGGATTTGACTTAGTTTGTAGAGCCTTTTTCTAGCACGTAAAGACTCTGGGTTTAATACCAGCACTACAGAAAAGGAGGGGCAAAAGTTTTTTTTATATCTTTATTGATATTTGAAATATTATATGTCTGTGTAGTATTATCTGTCCACACATGTAGAAATGTGTCTACCCATATATATTTGAATGTATATTGAAGAACAAATTTGAGCTCATACTCCATAATAAAGTTGTCCTTTTTTGGTTCAAATTTATTGGAGTAAAAATAAAGTAAAATTCATCTATTACAGTGTTTTGATTCATTGATCTTGAAAACACATCAAATCATAATTTTCACTGTTCAAGACAGAGGAAAGTTATGTCCCATCCAAAAATCTTATTTAGGATCAGGGAGATAACTCAGCGACCCAAGTACCTGCCTATCAAACATAAGGTCCTGAGTTTGATTCCTGGTACCAAAAAATAAATAAATAAATAAAAATAAATATTGTATACTTTCAGTAATCCTTTCCCTTCCCATGCAATTATTTATCTCTTTTCTTTCTACAAAATATCATTAAGTTAAAAAAAAATATCATTAAGTAGTTTGAAGTCTGGCCTCTTTAATTTAGCGTGTTTTTTTTTTCATTAAGATCTTTGATTCCACCAAATTGATGAAAATATTAATGTATTTTTCTAAAAATTTTATTTATTTTTTAAATAGGCTTTCTTTAGTCTGGTATAGTACTTATGTAACTTGTGAGGAAGAAAATCCAATTTTAAAAGATGAATTAACCAGTTCAGCTGTATGTAGTACAATTTGAGTTCTTACTAACTGTTCTTTCTAAATTTTGATTTACTCACAGGTAACACAAGTAGCACGGCAGCCGGGCCCACCGACCCCTTCCCCTTATTCAGCACATGAAATAAACAAGGGGCATCCAAATCTTGCGGCAACGCCCCCGGGACATGCATCGTCCCCTGGACTCTCTCAAGTAAGAAAAACTTTTTTAAAAAGAAATTTCCATGTTGAGTTAACATTTTTGCTTTTCTGAAGCGGACTTTCAAGGCAGACTTATGAGTAGTAGCATAAGACATTTCTGAAGGAATAATTTCTATTTTTACTTTGGCATCTTTTTAGATACCCCCTCCTCACATTCCATTCCCAACAATCTCATACATTTTATTTTGGGCTATTTAAAAATTAACCTTGAATTTTATTTTATTTTTTATTCATCAACTTTATTTTATTTTATTTTTAAAAAATTATTTATTTATTTGTGTGTGTGTGTGTGTGTGTGTGTGTGTGGCCAGCTCAGCCCACCAGGGGCACGAGGCTGGCTGGCATGTCGTGGTGGGGGATTGAACCGCAGTCCCTGTGCTTTGCTTAGCTTAGCTTGTTCTAAGTAAGTGCTTTAGACCACTGAGCCATCTCGCCAGCCCCTCATCAACTTTATTTACAATCAATAATTACATAGTATATTAAAAATTGTAGACAAATATTGAAATGTGAAAGGTATAAGATATCGACAATGAATTTTAGAGAAATGTTTCTGAAATGAATACATAGCTTGAGATTAATAATAGATTGTACATTGTAAATAAATTACCTACAAACTTAAATGAATATAACAATAAAAATTGTCCAAAATAAAAATAAAGAAAAAAGAATTTACAAATCAGTCATATCATAGTTCACTCTGTGCCAAAATAAACTTTTATTCATATAATTAGAATTCTCAAAGTAGAAAGGGATGGGCAGTTAATATTTAAAGTATTAAAATTTCTGAATTTAGTTGAACTTACAACACATTTCCAAGAAAAATGAACCTTTTGCACAAGAAATTTGAATAGAATCGTACTAAGGTACACAAAAAATGAAATTGTCCAAAATTTAATTGTAAATTAAAAAATCATTAAATCATATATATAAAAAATACTAGCTATGGAAGAACAAAATTAAATAACATCTTATTCCACATTAGAAAAAAAAAAGACCAAATATGTAAGAAGCTAGACCTAACTAATTTAAAAGACTGAAAGAAAAAAAAAAAAGACCTGTCCTCTTTTAATTTTATACTTAGCAAACATACCTTTGAAAACTAAAAGTAAATTATTTTCCAGTTATATAGACTCAAGATATTCTAATACCTCCAGACGTAGCATATAGGAAATTACAAAGCGCATAATTCAGAAGGCAAGAGAAGTTGCTGTATGGTCCTGGATAAAGAATAAACAGCTCTCAAAAATGATAGTTATGCAGGACTATGTAAAATATATTAGCTTAACCCATTTAAAAGGTCATTAAAGATTTCTACAAAACAGGATCAATCTTACATTGGATTATACACATTTTTTTCGTGTGTGTGTGTGTGTGTGTGTGTGTGTGTGTGTGTGTGTAAAAAAACAAGGAAGAGTTCAATCCCAGGTTCTGCCAAAAACAAAAAAGGCAAGGAAGGAGTAATATAAAGTCAATGGAAAATGGAAATATGCTTTTTAAAGTTTCTAATACTAGGAGAAAACATCATACCATGTCTTTTAAGTAGATTGTAAATCAGAGATACAGTATAAATCTTAAAACAAAGATTAAGATTAGGCAATATTCAGAAAATTAAATATTAATTAAAAATTTAATGTTTGGAAACAATTGAACTAAGAAAAAGTTTTCATGATAATAAAGAATTACTAAGAATAAAACATAAGATAAATACTGGAATGGCAAATAAATGACCAGCACTTCTAACAGTTTGGGGATAGGATATTGCACAAAGTTCTAGTGTGTTGTGCATCTGGCCAGTGTCCATGATGCTTACTGGCGGCCAAGTGTCACTTGCGGGACTGAGCCACTGCAGTTTCCTTGATGTGCACCCTCTAGACCCAGGTGGAATCACAGGGTGCAGGTGAAGGCCATTTGTAGAGTATGCTTATGGAAATATTTTGCTGCTGAACACAAACGAATAACTGAAAGACTGCTTTTGTATACCCCTTATTTTCCTGTGTTTAATTATTTGCCCTATATGGTCAGTTCTTTCCATTCTCATTTATGGAGTTGTGGTCATTTTGCCCCCTCTCTAGAACATCTTAGTAGTCTGTGTAGGCTTGGCTTTATCATCATGAAATTCTTTAGTTCTTTGACAGGGAAGTATTTCACTTCTCGCTTATACTTGTAAGAGAGTTTTGCAGGGTATATCAGTCTGAGTAGAATTTGTTTTCTTGCAAGACTTGTAGTACTTTGTTTCATGCTCTTCTTGACTTGATGGTTTGTGAAGAGAAATGTGCCGTTATCCTGTTGGATTTTCCCTTAAATGTGATCTGTTTATTTTCTTTAGCGGCTTTTAGTATACTGTTCCTGTGCTGAATTTCTGGGATCTTGATTATTATATGTCTGAGTGTGTTTTTAACGAGGTTGATGTTATTTGGAGTTCTGTATGTTTTGATTACTTGAATGTCAGATGGTTTCCCCATATTTGGGAAGTATTCTGCTATGACTTCCATCCATATTCTTTTTATGTCATTTGTATTGACTCCTCCTTTCTCATTGATGCCTATTAGTCTTATGTTGTTCATCTTTCCATTGTGTTGCAAATGTCGAATTATTCTTCTCTGCATCCTAGTAATCCTAGTTGTGTTTAAGAGATCTTTTCTTTTTCACTAGCTGCAGTGGTGTCTTTTTTTTTTTTTTTTTTTTTTTTTTTGACAGAACCAGGGATTCACTCAGGCCCTTGTGCTTGTCAGGCAAGTGCTTATTCTACTAGATATCTCCCTGGCCCCATGCAATGGTGTCTTTAAAGTTTGAAAGTCTATTTTTACTTTCATTCAAACGGTTTTGCCAGCTTGTGATTGAGGTTTTAATTTCCTGTATATCACTTTGAATCTGCATCTTGCATTCTATTTCTTTCCTATATTTCTCATTCGAGGATTCCATCATTTTTCTATAGTCCTATTTTTTTTTATCAGTGTCTTGTTCAGAAGCACTTAGTACTTCTTTCTAGTTATCGTTTCTTCTTTAACTTAAGAAATTATTTCTGATCTGATTTCCTCTATACCTTTCTGCAGTTGATTCTTTATTTCCAATGTTGTTATTTCAGAGATTTCAGGTGTGTGATTTCCAATTTCTTCTATGCTAGTGTCTCATGCATTTGTTCTGGGTGGGCTCGGGGCCTGAGAGTGCATTTTGCTTCTTCTCTTTGTCATTTTGTATATAGCACTGTCTTCTGACCTTTGGTGTAGAGCTTAGAGTTATTACCTTAGCATCAGGTCCGGATCTATCAAGTTTAAACTCGTCTAGGTGGGTGTGGCTTGGGTCTGGCTGCTGTGCTCCACTTCTTCCTGCTGCAGCCCTTGGAGGTGAACCTCTGTGCCACTCTGGCAAGATGTTCTGCTCCTGGAACAGCGGGGTGGATCTTGCCTTTAGCCTCTTTGCAGGGAATTCTGCTGCAGGGTTCTATAACTAGCCTGTATGCCGGGCCTGGGCTCTGGGTCAAATCAGAATCCGGCAGGCCCCCTAACCTTGAATTTTAGTTTTTGATCTTTATTATTTAAGAAATTCTATGGTTTTAAGAAAATCCATGACAAACCCATACAACACTAATTCAAATTTCAATGTTTAATCTGCTGTAAATCTCCCTAACCCTTTTTTTGATATAAAGATGGTGATTGTTTTCTATTCTTTTAGAAAAGTTTTTTCTCTCTTGAGAAAATTTGTTGGGAGTTTTATTTTTGAGTTTTGTAAGTATATTATTGAATTTGTTAGGCTTAAGTTTTTGCTGAACTGTTATGAAACTGTGAACTCCCTAGTGCTTTTCTACTTAAGAGAGACAACATTCAGACACTGGTTTCAGAAGATAGCACTATGACTCTTCTACATTTTAAGCTATTTCTCAGGATGTTTAGTTTGCACCATCCCATTATCACATGCTTTCTTGAGTTTGCTTGTGGTTAAGAGCTGGCTAGAGTTACAAAGTCATTTACTGGAATGTGGAGAAAGACAAGCCAGTAACTGTTTTCCTTACTGTTTGGAAATTATTCTTGTACCATTGCTTTTAATTTTGTTTTCCATATTTTAGAGCTTGCAAGACTTGAATTGTAGGAGAGACCTAGAATTACTAAAAATAATTATGTAACAGGCAACTATAAATTAGGGGTTGATTAGTGATAGTTTAGACTATTAAAGTTTAGAGAAAGAACTCTCATTTACAAGATCACTAACTGTAAAGGAATCCTGTCAACAAATATAATAAGCTAATTTGCTATTGTTACATATTTGTACCTGCAGTCTCCAGGAGGCTGAGGCAAGACAATCACAAGTTTAAGCCCAGTCTGGGCAATTTAGAAAAACCATCTCAAAATTTAAAAATAAGAAAAAAGAGTCATGGATTTAATGTTGTACTTAAACTTGGTATAAGTCATTCCTGTGTTATTTTGAGATTTAAATATTGAAAGAGAACAAAATAAACTCCAAATTTTAAAAAAATTTTAAAGAGAAGAAAAAAATAAAACAATTTCAAAATAAGACAATAGGAGAGTAATAATGGCTAATGCCTTGCATACTGTTATCTTTAGTTAGAGTACAAGATACAGGATTTCATTGTTCAGTCAATATTAGCACAAACCTTTTTTTTCAATGAACTAGTATAGTAGAGATTAGTAGCAGAACAATCTTTACTATCTTGTTTGTATGTATGTACGTACGTACGTACGTACGTATGTATGTATGTGTGTATGTATTTCTTTTCCACTTCCCCCATCCCAGTTTTTCTTTTCTTTTGAATAGCTTCCTCCCATTTTACAATAGCTGGTGTACATTTGCAATCTTATTTACTCTTTTAGCTTCTCACTATAAGGAGATAGTACAATGTTTACACATGTGTCTGGTTTATTTCACTTATGACTATGGACTTGAGTTGCATCCACTTACCTATAAAATTTCTAGTCTATTCTGCTTTATGAAAAAGAATAAAGACTACATAAAGGTATAATAAGTATATAAAGTATA